GGGGGTGGGGGCAGCGTACCGGGAATACAGAAGCTTCACCGGCGTTGCAACTTGTCCGAACCTCGTTCTAAAATTGGAACAAGACTCTAACAAAAAAGAAGTCACACGAAGTGCACACTTCCCAGATGATTTAGAAGACTTAGAGAGAAGAGGGTTTTGTAGCAATTTATATACAGTCCAAACAATATCAAAGCGGTAAAAGCGGCAATTAGCACATTACGCTCAACATGTAAAAATCAGATAAAATAAGCCAACTATAACAGTTATTCTAAGCTCGAATTCTTAAACCCTAAACCAAAGTTCTGGGTTTGTATCCCCAGCAGAGTCGCCAAGGCTGTCACACCTCCTTTTTACACACCCCGAGGGTATATAAGGGAGTTTTTTCACTTTAAGTGACATTATTCGAAATGGGATTATCTATTTTAATTTATCAGAGTCGCCACTTGGAATATTTTAATTGGTGTCCCAAGTCACCGATTTATTTTAAAATCCCAAATCGAGGAAATTCGACTTTCCTTTTGAAGTCTGCGAACCAGAAATTCTAAGTAAGGAATTCTGTTAACCCGGGAGAAGGTGTTAGGCATTCCCGGGTTCCGTGGTTCTAGCACAGTCGCTTAAACTATTACAATTGGCCTATTATCCGATTTATCACATGGTTTAGCCTATGGTGCATTTTTAACTTATTAACCGCTTTTAATTATTTAGGAATATTCAACGTTATTTAAAACATGCCTTGAACCATGCCACAAGAAATGCACCCGCGGTTCGCGACACGTTCTATTTAACGTTGTTGAGATTGAAATTGGGTCACATGAAATGCACACCCGAATTTAATAAATAAAGGAAATCAATTTACATGGCGCGCCTAAAGCAACTACGAGATTTCAAATTAATAACAAGGTTTACGAGGGCCATGGAAAGTTCAATTGATGGCACACCTCGATTTTTAAAAGGTTAAAACTAATTAAATAGGGCCATGGGTTTAGGGGTTTCATTTGGCATGGCACGCCTCAAATTATTTTTAGTGGCTTCTTGGTCTAATTTTTGGGGACCATAAGTCATTAGTTTGGTAAGATGGCACACCCCAATCAACTTTTTTTTTTAAAAAAAAAATGGTCGAATTGATTAACTAAAAGACTAAGGGAATTCAGAATTATTACTCTTTAAAGCTAATGTTCAAACTAAACTTATTAATCAGAAGGGCTAGTGTTAAAGGAGATCCGATCTATATTTATTCGAAATCCTGGGCCTGGCAGCAGGCCCAATAGTTTATTGAAAACTTCCATATTGAAATACGAAGGAAGATTGGGCTCTTACAAGGCCCAGAATGCATGCATGATCGGAAAAGGGGCATATGGCATAAATGGGCCAACGACGAAGGCCCAGTCGTGATTCATTACCATTAATTGAAGCAAATTACAATTTTCATGAAGACCTGGAAATTAAAACAAATCCTGACATTTCTTGCCAATTTAAAACAGATACAGAATGCACCCTGAAGCCAAATCACACTCTATGATGAATATGTAATCCTATTGCTATAATAACCCATACACAATTATTTTATCTCTTGAAATTTAACATAATTCATGACTTATAACCAAAATACTAACATGATTCCCAAATAAAAGAATACATTTACTAATATGAACTCCAACTGAATGTTCTTATTCCAAACCCATTCATATCATTTTAACAAATTCAAGCAAACTTCCTAAAACAAACACTGATTTCAGCAGACTTGAATAAGTCTGAAACACATCTAATTTAGACTGAACTTTCTACTACGATAACCCTAGCAGTCTGTACATACAAACAGGATTTCAAACTCATTTACAAACCAAACGACTAAATAACAGCACTTGTCCAGCTTACAAGCAGAACTTAAAGCTATCAATCGAATTGAACACATAAAACACATTAAGGAAACTTAGATGGATTACATAATAACATGGAATTAAGAGTATAGATGTAACATTCAATAAAAAAAGAAACAATGTATCACAAATTTCGACTCAAGAGCATAGTTGTAAATCCCTTTCATTTCACATGTGCATGAAGTCTAGAGAGTACCTGATTACACCAGCAAAACAACAAGAGAATGAGCTCGAAATTAAGAAGAGGACAACAGCAAGGTATCAACAACAAAGCAGCACAAACCACAGTCAGTTTTACACCATTTGAACCCAGATTGACACCATTCTTTCGAGTTTTCAAAGAAGTTCTGATTATAGGGAACTCAAAGAACAAAACCAAGCAAGTTTCAAACAATTTCTAGTATTTCTTGGAGTCTAAAAATGCTTAGCCGTTTTCTAAGTTTTTTCAGCTTTCTAATCTCTCAAATCTGACTTGAGAAGAAAGAAACAGGCCTTTTATAGAGACCTCTAGTGCAGCAGAAATGATTCTATTGTTTGCCAATTACCCCTTCTTTATTTTTCATTCTTATAAGTTAGTCCCCAATTTTAAATTCTGTTTATTAGACTAGCCCCAAACCCACCTTCCTAGCAGCTTCCTATTCAGTTACCAGAGATTCTTCTTACCCAAACTCCCCACATTACCCTTTAGGATTCTGTTATTTACCCTCAGAACCAGATATGGGTCAATTTGACCCAACACTCAACCCAAAACCTATGCTTACAAACTCGGACTGGCCCCCTTCTTTGGGCCTCTGTTGGCAGAGCCCAATTAGTAAATCAAAACCCAACAGAAAACCCAAGAAAATGGCCTATCGGAGTTATATGAACTCCTGAAGCCAGGGATTCTAAATAAAACAAAATAGGAGGGAACTTGAGCGAAATCAAACAACAGAATCAAACACACTAACAAAATCCTGACTAAAAATAACATAAAATTAACAGGCATGCAGAAATGATTTAAGAAACAGAAAAATAAGAAAGCAAAGGAGAGAAACAGAAGAAGATGAAAACGAAAAAATGAAAGAAAGAGAAGACTGAAATACCTAACTGACCAGAAGGATAATGGGCTTGACCTGGCTTCAAAAACCTTCGATTTTGAGTCGAAATTGGCCTTAATCGTGTGTTCTTGTTAAGAACAGACGAACAAAGCCAGTTTCGACCCTAATCATTCGTTGAACTTGACGATTTGGTGAGATTTGGGTTTTTTTTTAGGGTTTTGGCCGGATTGTTTCAATTGAAGATTCGAGATGCTCTAGAGTGATTCGAGAGAAACTGGTCAGGGACTGGGAAAGGGGAGGTCATGAGGATTTTATGGTGTAAATTTGATTGGGTTTTGAGGTGGCGCCGCCACCGGAGACGGCAAGGATTTAAGGGCGGCGCTAGGGTTCTTGAGTCTCTAATGGAGGAGATGAAGTGAAGAAGTACGAGGGGTTCTAAAGGGATTCAGACAATTTTAAACGAAGATAGGGGAAGGGTTTCAGCCGTTGGATAAGATGGAACGGAGCACTCAGATCGATTTTAACTTAAATGAACTCCAAACGGTATCGTTTGGCCAGGCTAAAGGTTGGGACCGGGTTCAGGTGGAGCTTGGGCCGGGTCTGAGACGGGTATGGGGGAAAACTGTTTGGGCAGGTACGAGTTTGGCCCAAACGAAAGACAACCTTTCTTATTGATTCTTTTCTTTTTCTTTTAATTTTCAATTTTTTTTCAAATTAATTTAAAACTTAAACTAACTCTTAAAACTAAATTAACTTACCAAAATAAACTAAGTACTCACTATAGTATTTTACCAAAATTAATTAAATTTTAAATTTAAAGAAGAACTATAAAATTCAAAATTAAAGAGTTAAAATGCAAAGTGAGTTATTTTTTTTTTTGTGATGTTTTTAATTTTTTTTATAAAATAACTAATTTACCAATTATCCTAAAAATGTAAAAATAAATCCTAAATGCAAATGCAGAGTATTTTTGTATTTTCATGAATTAATAAAATTAAACATGCACAGAAAAATATAAATAATCAAGAAAATTCTACAATAATTCCTAAAATGGCAAACAAATAAAAGAAAAATCTAGTTATTTGGGATTCTGTAGGAGTAATTCATGTGGGACAAAAATCACGTGCTCACAGTAATTGCCCCTTTTTTGCACTCCCTCGTTATCAACAAGAAATAATTCGGGTAAGATCCAATTGGGGTGGAGGACTTCTTCAACCTACACATCCAAATTGGTCTATAATTTTTTTTCAAATGCTCTATAACCTTACTGGCGGTAATATCAACTGGAAACCCGAAAAAACAAGCTTGAATTCCTTTATACTCATCTGTACTCTCTGACTCCATCGTTTCGTTCAGATACGAAAAGTATAAATTCAATTAATCAATAAACAAATTGAATGAAAATATTGTGTTGAAATTTTTCTTAAAAATCATATCCTCTATGCTAGCAAAGAATATACTAATATTTCATTTGGACTAATAATATAATTTATTTGATTAATTAAATTTTTTAATTTAATTATTAAATAATAAAATAATTAATAATTTAGCAAAGATAAAACACTTATTAGTGTGTGACCCCATAGCTAGGTTCAATACTAAATAGGTAGTAAATTGATCCAATCAATATACTAATCAAGGATTGTGTCTAGATCAATAAAAAACTTGGCGAACATGTGCAAGAAAATACTATTGAAACGAGTTACTTTTTGCGAACCCGCGTCAAAAGTTACGGATTCAACTGAACTCGGTATCAATACACTACATACGCCGTTGTTCAAACCTGAAGGTTTTCCGCCATGAACCCATTGAATTTTTAAAATTATGGGTTCAATAATACTATTTGTTATAATTTTAAAAATTTTAAACATAAATTTATGGTTCGTTACATCCGCCTCTGAAGTAGCATAAATATGAAGTACAAAAGTTGTACTTGATAGAAAAAACTCAAAAGATTTTATTGTCCTAAAAGTACTAACTACTAAGTGATAGTACAATGTTGAAATACTACACTATTTCAGAACCATTCTTTATATATCTAATCTATAAATTAAACCTACCAATTTTCACTAGTAAAAGTAGAGATAGGGAATCCTCTAATTGGTGAAAGTGTTCAACCGGGGCAATCTGAGATCACATGTTGGTACTTTTCTTTTCTTTTTTCTCTTCAATTATTGAGTGGTTCAATATTTTAATATGTGTTCTCAGGTTGCCCCTGTCGAACTATTTTTCACCGAATAAGATGATTTAGCATGTTTGGTATATAGTTTTATCGTGTTCGAGAACTTCATCTGGATGAGCTTTCTCACAATACCCGTCTCAAGCCCAGATAAAGGAGAAGAGACATTGTGGTAGACTGATAGCGAGCGTAAACTAGCCAGCTCATAGTGAATCATCAACAAATAGATACATATATAATGAGGATTCATATAGATCCTAACTTTTATGATTGTGCCAACTTGCTTGAAAGGTTTGACCAAGGTGAGCTTTAATATTCCACATATTAAAATTTTGTTTTTCCTATACATAAATAGCAAAGAGTAGAAAAAAAATCTAACTGCATGCATAGAATTGATTAAGAGATCAACTGAACAGTCAGGGGCGGATTTACATGGACCCGTGCATGTCATGGGACACCGCTTCGTTGAAAAATTATACTACATATGTATATAAAAATAATAAATAAAACAGAAATACAAGATAAGATCATTAAAAGTGACACCTTTTACATCAAAATAGCTCAATAGTCTAGTGGTTGATCGCTTCAAATTTGATGTGAGAGGTCTTGGGTTCGAACTCCCTCAAGAAATCACTTGTGCTCGTGGCACTATAGTTTGAATTGTGATTGTACGCTAATAACCAACTATGACATATAGCTGCAATAAAAAATGGGCAGCCAGATATACAAGGCATCTCGCGTTCACGCAGGGTCCGGGGAAGGGCAGCACCCTAAGGGATGTGATGTAAAGAAAACTAAATAATGTAATAAGACTTATTTATGCAGAATGTTAGTAAAAGATTTCAGAAATAATACAATTATTAGTTCTATATAATTTAAGATTTTTTCATGATTTCACTAGCTCAATAAAGCAAGGAAGTGTGTTTTCATACATAATATTACTTTAAGGAAACATGAGATAACTCTCTATAGGAAGGGAATCAAATAGCCATTTCAAGACTATTATTACAAAAAGAAGCTGCACTTAGGACATTAGAGATCAAGGCCCAATGCAACAAAATGCCAACATCTTCTTTTTCCTCTGCACCCAACAAAAGAAAAATAGGTAAGATAGCAAGGGATTTTAGAGGCGGATCCAATATTTATATTAATAGTAGGGCGACTTGAGTTTTAGTAATAAGTCTTACCATGCAAGAATCTTCATGCTGCTTCCTAAGAGCTTCCTGCTCATGATCGATGCTAGGTGGTCGCGCTAAAAGATCATTATTTTTGTGTTGTTTTCTGTTGACGCGAGCTTTTGAAAATTCGACAGTATAACTTGCAGCACCTCCAGCTTGTTGATCCCACATTCCAAATTGAGGTACAGACCTGTATCCATTTTTCTGCAGTTTGAACAGATATAGAAAAACCATTTAGTAGAAACTCAGAGCTAGAGATCAATATATCTTTTGGAAAATACATCATGTGACAGGAATGATGATCATGGAATTCTTTACTAATTCAACATATATTGCATTATTAAACCATAAAAATATGATAAGCACTAGCATTTGATTGAGAAACTGTTGGGTTTGTTATTTAATAAATAATAATAAAAGAGGTGTGAATGGAAAATTGTGGGAAAAGAACTGGAGGGATGATCAGCGACCCGGTCCGGTCTAGCCCGTTTTTCTTTCCCGGATTAATTAAAATTCGTTTTAAATTTCCCGCAAAAATTTCCAACAGCCGTGGCTGTTCTGAAACAGTGTCACACCTGTTCCAACAGCTATGACTGTTCTGAAAGGTTGCAAACCTCTTCAGAGGGTCACACCTGTTCCAACAGTCATGACTATTCTGAAAGGTTGCAAACCTCTTCAGAAACATCACCAAGTTGGCTATAAATAGACCTTCAAATCCCAGAATATTTACTTACGAAATTTTCTGAATCTTCTTCTTCTGCACAAAATATTCCAGTGTGTTTTACGACCATCGAGTGGTTCGCCGATCATCAGAGTTTTAGGTACCGATACACAGGTGAGTTAAATCGTTCTATCCTGGGAGGATATATTCCATAACCTCGGGTACTTGAGGGGAATAATTTCCTTAAGGACACACTGTGTATTCAGTGGGCTCGATTTATTTTTTCAACGTTTTAAAAATTATTTTGAAGTTCGAATATTATTTTTCAGAATTGTTTCTACTAACTTTCTGTTTTATTTTTCAGAAAGATTACTGTTTTATTTACTTACAGCAATACAGATTGATAACAATCTTAAGGAAATTATTAAATTATATTCTGTATCCTGTCTGAATTTTATTATTCTGATTTTAAGATATAAAAACTTCATCAGGGTATTGAAATTCAGAAAACGATTTGAAGAACATAAAAATTTCATCGTTTTTTCTGTAAAACAGTATATAAAAACTTCAGTTGTTTTTATTACGTACTGTTTATTAATTACAATATTATTTACTGTTTTGGTTTTTTTTGTTGTTCACTGTATGAAATGGCAAATGAGAATGGAATTCCTTCTGCGACTGTTGGTGCAAACGACGATAGCCTCGTCAAGCCGCACTGCTGTTCCTCCGGCCGAGAAACCGGGAAAGTCATAACGTTTGGATACAATTGTTTAGTAAACAATGACATGCGAGATTTGACCAAATAATATTGTCAAATGGTTTCAAAAGTAATGAGTGCAAAAAAAGGTGTTTACGTTAAGAATACTTCAAATCATATAGTCATTATTTGATTATATATGATATGTTGATGAAATATTTAAAATGTGGGGGCTTTTAGCTTATGCATGACAAAAGCCAATGTTAGACGTAATGTCTAAATTATATAATTTTTGAACTCCATTGATATAGTAGTTGGTAAAATCATCAGTTGTTTAGTCTTAATAAAGATTAGTTGATGAAACTACTAATTCGGAAGTTGGTCACATGCCTTTCTCGAAAGGTCATTTTCTTTTATATTGTTTAGTTCTTTTATGAAATAATGTCACTTTGAAGGTTGTGACTTTTCATAGAAAGATACGTCTGTACGTTTTAGTATGGACATGACTGTTCATGAACGAATATATTAATACGGTGGTCTATAATGAGGTGAACTGACCGATGAACATGACCAAAATCCAGTGCAAGTTGGATTTATTTCATGAATGGAGGTGCTATAATTTGCATATCATATAGACATATGAATGAATAGCATACAAATGCTTGAAAATGGCGGAATGATTACGAAATGTGTTATATATTAAAAGGTTGTGGCCACAACTGATGCCAATCATTCCAGCTGTTGTTATAATTACTACATTAAGTGTAGTCAATAATCTGATATGCAATCGAAAATCGAGACGTATTAGTCTACAACATAAGGAAGTTTGCATTGAATGTTCATTTGAAATATACTCCAAATTATGCTTTGCACAATAAGTATCCCACGATAATAGAGGGGTATAGTGATGCAAATTAGATCACCGGTTCAACCGATTCTAAACAGTCGGCGGATGAGCGATGTCTTGGAAATCGTCCAAACAAATGTGCATTGACCGCTCTACAGTGGAGGCTGAGTTCATAGCCTTAGACAAGGTCGGTGAAGAAGCTGAATGGCTCCGGATATTCTTGGAAGATATTCCATTTTGGCCCAAACCTTTGGCACCTATATGTATACATTGTGATAGTCAAGAGGCAATAGGTAGGGTAGGGAGCGTTATGTATAATGGAAAATCTCGTCATATCCGACGGAGACACAATACCGTTAGACAACTACTCTCTAGTGGTGTTATCACAATTGACTACGTAAAGTCAAGAGATAACGTATCGGATCCACTTACAAAAGGCCTATCTAGAGAGGTAGTTGAAAGATCATCAAAGGGAATGGGGTTAAAGGCCTAGGACAAGTCATCATGGCGGTAACTCTACCTAGCAGACTGGAGATCCCAAGAGCTAGGTTCAAAGAGATCAAACAAAGTTATGAATGACGGTTCAACATTGTCAACTAACTCAACCCATTCTCATGATGAAGACAATGTTCAAAAACGAGGTAAAGCATTAAGGCTTTTTTGATGAGTCAATAAAGCTTAAAGCTTTTTAATGATTGCTAAGTCTGGCAGGATATGACCAGATAGTGTGTCTTTAGGATTACACGTTTAGGAATCACCTATGTGAGTGTGAAGTGTAAGCCGCTTCAAGGAGAATGAAAGTAAAGGCCCATTCTCTAAGCACTCATGAGACCAGGCGGTGTTCATGGCTGAAACGAACACAACCGTGAGAACCATAGATGGTTAAGGATTGATTGTGTGACTTATGTTGTCTAGGTATACAACAAAGCTCGACGGTTCAAAGATATCAAATCTACCGATTGACCGAGTATATCCGATATAAGTTCACTACGGAAAGTTCAAAGGGAAACCTATTTATCCAGATGCAATTAATTTTTGCTTGTAAAACACACACACGTCCGTGCATTCCTTTAAGTTTATAGCCATTCCCCATTCATGTGGGGGATTGTTGGGTTTGTTATTTAATAAATAATAACAAAAGAGGTGTGAATGGAAAACAGTGGGAAAAGAAATAGAGGGATGACCCGCGACCCGGTCCGGTCTAGCCTGTTTTTCTTTCCCGAATTAATTAAAATTCGTTTTAAATTTCCCGCAAAAATTTCCAACAGCCATGGCTGTTCTGAAATAGTGTCACACCTGTTCCAACAGCCATGACTGTTCTGAAAGGTTGCAAACCTCTTCAGAGGGTCACACCTGTTCCAAACTATTCTGAAAGGTTGCAAACCTCTTCAGAAACATCACCAAGTTGGCTATAAATAGACCTTCAAATCGCAGAATATTTACTTACGAAATTTTCTGAATCTTCTTCTTCTGCACAAAATATGCCAATGTGTTTTACGACCATCGAGTGGTTCGCCGATCACTAGAGTTTTAGGTACCGATACACTGGTGAGTTAAATCGTTCTATCCTGGGAGGATATATTCCATAACCTCGGGTACTTGAGGGGAATAATTTCCTTAAGGACACACTGTGTATTCAGTGGGCTCGATTTGTTCCTTCAACGTTTGAAAAATTATTTTGAAGTTCGAATATTATTTTTCAGAATTGTTTCTACTAACTTTCTGTTTTATTTTTTCAGAAAAATTACTGTTTTATTTACTTACAGCAATACAGATTGATAACAGAAACTGCCGAGGAGGAAATAAGTTCAGATATGGAATTTGACTTCTAGGTACAGTCAAACCTCTCTATAACAGCCTCATTTGTTCCGATATTTTTTGGTTACTATAGTGAAGTGTTGTTATAGAAATTATATATTATAACATAACATACAGATCGGTTCCAAGAAAAACTTAGCTTTTATAGTGAATGACTGTTATATAGAGATATTGTTATAGGAAGCATACCCGGCCACTGCTTCCCTGTTGTGGCGTGCTGGTACCTGTTGCTGGTGGGAGGTGGTCGATGTGCGTTCAAGTTGCCCAAACACTACAGTTATTTTAAAGAAAAGGTGTCCCCAGAGGTAATTCAATTCTTTGATTTGTGGCGGAGAGTTGTAGAAGACTCGGTTATTAAAGATCTAATTGAAGTAATTTTTGAGCCACCTTTATCGCTATGTTGCTACAATCTTATTTAAGGATATTCAACAATTTACATAACTTTTCTTTTACCTATACGTGCAAGATAGTCATTCGACAAGAGGGATTCAATCAAACCCTTTAAAACCATGCATTGTACACTAGTATCATATTACTACAGGAAATTTTGCAGTCAAGAATCCCATAATGCACCAGAATAAAGTTGGTTTTAATTACCATGCAATCTGGTGCACTAAGCTTCCGCTATGCGCGGGAATCCAAGAAAGGACCGGACCAGAAGGATTTTAATTACCATATGTCAATTAATATGTCATTCAGATTAAATATGCTTACCATATTGCTAGGGTCCTCTTGTTTCTTGCCAGGAAATTCCTGATCATTTGTCAACCCGTGGCGTACGCCTAACCCATTTTTATGCTGCGGCTGCTGATCATTTGCCAATCCGTGGCGTGCACCTAAACCATTTTTATGCTGCTGCTGCTTGTTGGCGCGAGCTTTGGAAAATTCTATTGTATAACTAGAATTGCCCCCTGCTGCAGCCTTGTTATCCCATGCTCCAAATTGAGGAACATAAGTTGGACCATTTTTCTAAAGAAATATTTGAACAAACATTTGGTCAGTAAATATATATGAAGTAGCTAGGTCCTAAGTTGCTTCAACACGGCAGTTTAGGTGCCGTGTTCGTGTCGACACCACACTATTTTGGGTGTGGGTATGAGATCTGTAGCGGATCTGGTCAAACAATTTTGGGTACTTTGACAACGATGAACGGAAAAATTCGAGACGAGATACTATTTGATTCCCGAAATTAGAACCAAAACTAGAATAAATTTAAAGAAAATAGCATACCTTATCTAGGAAATCAATCATTTACTTATCTACAACTTGAGAATAAAAAAAAATCCACACTTTATAAGTTATACGTAACTATTCCACAAAATTTCTCATAATCGATATGTTTATATTTTTGAATCATTTTTATCCGGATCCCCGCACCCGTATCTGTTCTAGGATCCATAAAAAAATATTTCACGTATTTGATCATGCAAAAAGAATTAAACCCGCACATGAAAGATATGTTTGAAGATGTAATTGGCTAAATAAAAATACTTTTTTAATAGTTTAAGATTTTAAATAAGATGGTCGTACAATTCAGCAACTACGATGATAAACCGAAAGAACTTGATGAAGATAATTATAAGATTGATAATACATAAGTTCATGAAAAAGATATTAATTGCTCTCTCTTGATCATGATCATTTTCTTTCAAAACGTTTTTTCTCCTTCCATTCAATTAATTAAATAGTCTTAAACATTACAAAGAAATGCAGAATATTTAACAAATAAATGCCAATATGGATAAGCAAATTTCATAAGAACATAATTGCAATATCTTAATGAAAATCATTTTCCTTCTAAATCAATCTCGAACATTTACTTAATTTCTCCATCATTTCCATTAAAAGATCAAACAATCTAAACTAATTTTTTTTAAAGAAATACATAAAAAAAGGTCAAAATGATTTGTTGCATATCTTCAAAATAATAAGAACGCGGCAAGAGGAAATGATATTTTATTTTATATAAAAAATTAAGTTTTCAATCGAATCTAAAACATACCTCCTTTCGTTTTTCCATATGAAGCACAAAGAGGAAAAGATCAGAGAGAAATGGCTGAAAAGGCTTTGAAGGAGGTAATCATGGATCCCATAAAATATATATACGCCTCTAATTATTAATTATTTACATATTTATTTATTTTATTTGAGAAAAAGTTCCTTAAAATATAAGTTATATACACTATTTATATAAGAATTTTTTATATTATCAGTATAGCTTAATATGCAATAAAAATAAGTTTGTCTTGGAGGAATTTCACCCTTTTGGCCTCTAGTTTACGGCATAAAATAATGCATTTCAAATTTTCAATACTTGACTGTTAACTCTTGAAATAAGTTTGCATTTGTATATTTCTTGCATGAGTTTGAAACTTTTTCGAATTGGATTTTCTTAGAAATATCTTGTCACGATCCAAAACTCACTATAGGCCGTGATGGCGTCCAACATTGTTGTTAAGCAAATCAACGGTGAACTACCAATTTGATTACGCATTTTATTATTTTCGAAATCGTGCATTTTATTAGATAAAGAAATCAACGGATTAAAATCATGAAAACTTACACATTAAGTAGAATAGATAATAAAAGTGTGTAAATGCTAAGTAAAATCACCACAATATCTAGAACATCCCAAAATCCGATGTCGCAAGTGCATAAGCATCATAAGAAGTACGATAATAATACAACATATGTCCACAATATAAATAAGACAGGATAGAGTAAATAGTATGATGGAGACTCTGTGGGTCGCGATCCGTAGCATGAAATGCAGCTCACCATAAAGTCTCCTCAGCAGCTGCTCCTACGTGTCAAGATAACCACAAATTGAACCTGTCAGATCCTGTACATTTAGTGCAGAAGTGTAGCATGAGTACGTAAATCAACGCGTACCCAATAAGTATCTAGCCTAACCCCGGATAAGTAATGACGAGGGGTCAACATCGACACTTACTAGAGGTCCAATAAAGCAATATAATAAATTATAAGCAGATATGAAGCACACAACAATAATGGGGTAAATCTGTAAGTTACATATTCTTCCATAAATTTCTTTCAAAGGTATGAATTTTCCAGTCTTGTATTCTGCCTCAACAGCTCAGATATATCAAGTGCTAGTATCAAACAGATAAGAAATACCATATAAAATGCCAGGAATCCAAGGAAGGATAACCTCGTGAATATTCGGACTGCCAACGACATAATGCACGATTATGTCGAGGTCGTTCGACCCGGTCCAGAATAATGGGTACACTGTCGAGGGTCGAGCGGCACGAACCATAGATGCATTTATTATACTGTCGAGGCGTTCGCCCGCTCCACAAGAAATGAAGGAAATTATCGAATTACGAGACACGGGCTTACAGTACAGTACATGAGCACAAAATGAATAACATTTACCGTTTCTCAAATAACTTGCCAACAACTCATGGTGATAAGGCTCGGCCTAATATATACATATATTTCTAAATCAATTTCACTTATATATTCAGTTAATTAAGCCAGCAGAATGAGTTCAAATAATTCAAATATTACATGATAAAGTCCTAAGTCTACCCGGACATAAATATGCTTTAGTTACGTACGGATTCTCGTCACCCCGTGCGTACGTAGCACCCACAACTAGTAGCACATAATAATTACATCACCTAGGGGGTAGTTTCCCCCTCACGAGGTCAGACATGAGACTTACCTCGCTTTGAAATTCCGTAACCGGCTCTAATGCCTCTCAAACACCTCAACTCAAAGTCAAACGTTTCGAAACTAGCCAAACAACGTGCAAATCAATCAAAATATACTCCAATGAGAATAATTTAACAATTTATAATAATTCTCAACTCCACTCGAAAAGTCAACAATCCACGTGCACGAATTCCCAAAATTCTTGAAGATAAACTTTACCCATAACTCTACGAACTCAAATATATAATTTATTCCTAATTCCATGTCCAATTTCATTGAAAAAATCCAAAAATACCAAATTCTAGGTTTTTCTCTTAAAATCCCACAATTTCCATAGATATTCATGTTTTAATCAACATATAAACCATGTATTTAACTCACAAGGTGTAGAAATCACTTACCTAAAGTTTGGTGATGAAAATGACACTCCAAAATCGCCCTAAAGTCAGTTCCCATGGAAGGAATGAGGTGAAAATGAGACAAACTCCCGAAATATAGCTTCTGCGCATATTAACCCTTCATAATCCCGGAAAATGCTTTGCGATCGCGAAGCACAACTTTTCTCAGCTCAAAATTGCCCTTCGCGATCGCAAAGAGCAAGTTGCCCAACTCCTCCGTAAAGACTCTAGTATAATGGCCATAACCTTTTGTACAAAATCCCAAATAACAAATGGTTTGACTTTCTGAAAACTAGACACCAAGGGTTACAACTTTCATTTTTGGATTATCTCCAAATTCCTTATAGATTGCAAGGTATAAGCTTCCAAAGTCAGCCTTGTGCAGCATAAATTTCTTCTTCGCGAACGCGAATCTGCTTCCGTGAACGCGATTCAAAAACTCCTTTCTCCCATTTTTCTCTACGCGAACGCGACCCTTTCCTTGCGAACACGACCTGACCTCAGAAAACAGCAGCTCAACATGGCGAAATGATCCGTAGACCCTCGAAACACACCCGAGGCCCCCGGAACCCCATCCAATCACACCAATAAGTCCCAATACATGACACAAACCTGCTCGATGCCTCAAATCACACCAAACAACATCAAAACTACAAATCCACGATCGAAACCTTTCTTTAAACTTTCAAACTTTCAAACTTTGACGAACGCATTCGGTTCATACTTAAACATTCCGGAATGACGCCAAACTTTACGTACAAGTAATAAATTACGATACAAACCTATTCCAAGGCTCGGAACCTCAACGAACATCGATAACACCAAAGTCCACTTCAAATCAAACTTAAGAAATTCTTAAACTTTCAAAATGCTAACTTTCATAATAAGCGCCGAAATGCCCTCAGATCACCCGATACTCAACCCGAACATACGCCCAAGTCCAAAATCATCATATGAACCTATTAGAACTTTCAAATCCCGATTGCGAGTTTGTTTACTCAAAAGTCAAACCTCAGTCAATTCTTCCAACTTAAAGCTTCCGAAATTAGAATTTTCCATCCGAATCAACTCTGAACTTCCCGAAATTCGATTCCGACTATGCGTACAAGTCATAAAACATGAAGTGAAGCTACTCAAGGCCTCAAACCGCCAAACGACGAGCTAGAGCTCAAAATGACCGATCGGGTCGTTACATTCTCCCCCACTTAAACATATGTTCGTCCTCGAACGTGCCAAGAACTGTTCCGGAGTTGTCCAAAATCACTGTTTAACACGTCGTGCACCTACCTATGCCACCACAACCCATGTGAGCATATTAGCTCGAGCCAGACTAAAGATCCTCCCTATAACCTTGGGTAACAAGCCTAAGAACCAAATTCCAACATCGGGAATTCTCCACAAGATCCGATTCTAACATACGAATACCGCATCAATCACTACACACTGTACCAAAATATGATCGTGCATTTTTCCTGAAATCACACCATGCACCGCATAATTCACATGTTTATAATAGCATCCTCCGACCATAGTAGCTGTAATTTCACGAATCTGATGCCCGCAATATGCCTCATAACACATGTAAGCCTTGTTCCAACTCTGGTAATACTACCGTGACGAAATTTGCTCTTTAATATACTCTATAACTCCGATCGCACTGATCCCAAGTCCAATAATCTCGTCTCACCCAGTACAAGTTGCTGGGGCAATAAGCCGCCTTAAACACCGTCTAGAATCTCATATGACGCCACCAAAGAGCCAACAAGCTACAACTCGAATATGACCTATAGGAAAGAACAAACTCTAGAAAAGAACTATCAAGCCCGCATAACGAATAAAACAGCCAACATCTGCGATGAATCTTCCTTAGAGATAAGAAACAAGACACACAAAAATAAGTATAGGGAACCGTACTTAACATCTCACTGTTGCGACATGCAACCCCGTCCAAATATGACCTGTTGCGGCATGCAACCCGATGCAAGCATGACATCATTGCGGCGTGCAATCCGATCCACACAACATACCCGTGGCGGCATGCCACCGATCCAAACAATATATCAGTGGCGGCGTGCCACCCGATCCATTTATAACAATTAATAAGGAAACACCCATCAAGCCGAAATGCTTATACTTACGAAATGCCCGAATACCGATCACAAGCATGCCGGGTGCATAATACAACCTTGGAGAGGCGGATAACATCATACACTACAAAAACCAAGCACGACTAAGGTGCAATAAATGACCTACATCTCGAGAGCCTTCTTGCTCATATAACACCACAAGCTACACGGGATCACAACACATGTTGTGAATAATCAAGCCGTCTCACAACCCACCTGGCACAATAGAATATTACATGGAATAGCTGACGACGGGAAAAACATCCAAAGCACGAAGACTCCTCGGTAAGAAATTCTATGTTGAATGAACACATCTAACCTGATGTAGAGCACACATTCACATTAGACCCACCAACGGACCTCAAGCCGATTCTAATCATACTATACTGGGCCAATAACCTTTCAAGGATCCACAATGGCCCTATTCATGACGCACATGAGCAGCCATCCAATCAGGAACAAACTCCCACAGTCCACAACCAAAGGAATAAAGCGCCTTTCAGGCATAAACTCTCACATTAGCGATAGTACCAGAATCTCCATACTTGGTTTCAATCCTTAACAATCAAGTGATTAACATGTCACACTTATACAATTCTCCAGTGGGATACGCTCCCATGATCTTCCGCACCAGGTAGCAAAGTCTGCACCTCCATACCACCAACCGTACTAATTCTGTATCAACACACAAAGCCTCTTCCACAGGACACCATTCTCAAGCGACACTAAGTTAATGCCAACTTACTCTAAACATATGAGTTCTTCCCTACCCCTCCGAGCTTGTGACATTCTTATCAACACCCAGCCGCAACCTTGATCCTCAACCTCTAATTCCCATGTTGCTCACTGCACCTATCATGCCGCTACGCGAGAGTACAAGAA